CTTATTGGTAGTCAGTGTATACACACAAGATGCAATTTTTGCAAAAATTCCATTTAGCTTTGGATGAAGTGCTGATTAACAGATACTCTCTCCTGACTTGATATCAGATTCAAATAATGATTTTCAATTAACTTTTTAGTATCACCTGCATACTGCCCTAATAATATAGATAAATAGTCAAAAGTGTTCAGCGACTATGGCTTCGAAAAGTTTTGGGGATCGAGAATAAATATGTCTTCTTATAACTTCCTATGCCCTTTAAACCTACTTTCCATTGATAGAATGGTGTTATTTATAGTTGGACTGTTCTTTGTCGTCCATTTGCTTCCCTTTTTGGCATCTTCTAACAGGTAGTTATTCTTGTATAATTATATCACAACCGAGCCTTTCATATTTATTATTGCAATCCATTGCAAACGATTTTGATGTGTTAAATATTAAATCAAAGTTTTTAGAAAAGGCTATTAAAGAGCTTGTAGCCTCCCTAACCATATTATGCGCTAAGATGTAATCCAATCTTTTAGTCTGAAAATAATTCATTACTGTCTCAGCATATTGAAATATTTTCAAATATATGTGAGCAGACAAAATTATTCTAAAAGTTGATATTTTGTCAAAAACAGATTTTTGCCCTTTGTCGTATCTGTGCATTTTGTATATCATTGGAAGCAATACTTCTGAGTGCAAGTATTATTTCTACATATAAACAATTATCTTTGCAATCGAATGTAATAAAAAAAAAAATTTAGGGCGTGTTTTTCGAACACTGTCTAGTTTCACTGATAAAATGAAGATATCTAATAACAACTAAACATTGGTCCATTTGATTTATGTTAGTAGTAGTATTAATTTGAAGTGAGTAAAAATTTGCTTTTCGAATCTGAGCTAACATTAACTGTCTCATGACATTTTTTATGCTAGTTATGATATAATCTATCATCATTTTAGATAGCAATGTTATGCTATTCCCTCTACATTGACGATCAGCATGTTTTGTTATAACATTGATATGCCTCGAACAGGTTCGTATTTTGAATGTAATATTATAATTTCCAGGAAATTTCCATTAGCAACATTAACATCTGTTAAGCTTCGTACATTTTTCATTCTATGACTATGAAGGAAACAAGTTCCTCCTTTTCTGATAAATTGGAACAACATCAATAATTACTTCCAACACTTGCTTTAATTAAATTGCACTTTTTGATGAATCAATGACATTTCTGAGAACAAAGTACTATATATATATTTTGCTTTTAACATTCATAATATGTGCTTCTGTATATTTATTATGAATTTTATTCACTTCATATTCATTCATGTGTTATATTACGTGGCACCAATCTCTCATTCCTCCATTAAAAAAAGAACTTTTGTTAGAGCTGTCAGAATAAAGTAAACAAATGAAGCAGAATAATCCATTTGTCTCTTTACAGAAACTCGACCATTTTCTATTACTTCCATTAGGACGATAGAACACTAGGTGAGGAAGAAAAGACAAATGCTTTGAAGCTGAAGGTTGGCAAGGATGTTTGCTAATAAAATCCTGTCGATCTTGAGCTGCTGTCGGTTGTGCAAAATAAGAAAGCCAACAAATATAAAAAGAACGATGATGATGTGCTTGTTGTTACCATGGTAATATTCTCTTTATTAGTGTCTCCGTTGTTAGCAGCACCAAATTGTCCTCACATGTGTTTGATATTTCAGCTTCAAATGTTTTTGAAGTGGTGGCCTCTTCTCGTGTTTACACAGTAATTGTCAGGAGAGAAGTTGCTGGCTTTGAAAATACAGAATACATATTTGTGATTTTTTAGCAATGTTTTACAGAACCTGTCATTAGTTTATGTCTGTTTTCTTGAACTTCCTGTTCACCTAATTTGATTTTTTGTTTATTCATTGTATGTACTTAAAACATAATGTAAAAAAAAATTCAACTGCACTATTTTTTTTTCATCAATTTACATTATTCAGTGACACAGTAAAATTCGCTAGAGAGTCTTTTTTTAATTACAATTATAATCCAATATTTTCAATGTCACAATAAAATTGGAATGTGACTGTACTGTATTTTCATTAATTTACTTTACGACTGTTGACTATAGGTTCTACTCTACCCCTATCCTACAGCCACCGTATCTCATATGAGTTTGAGTGCAATATGCAGTCCACGCATCCATGTCTCCTTCATGCTCAGGACTTTTTCGTCGAGTCATATGTATAAATTCAATCGTTCGAGTTTCTTGATTGGCCCGAAATTGCTTCAGCCCACCAACCACTGCATATAACTCGACTACTTTTTAGGAGCTTTTTTTAAGATATCTGTAGGCCAAACAGAGCAAATATTACATACAGAAATATAATTATTATTCATGCATATGTCTTTCCTGTTCTTTTCAAAGATTTGAGTGTTCTTTTTCTGTAATTTTTGCCGTTTTTGTATTGTGCCATTAATTCTTAGAACTGCCTAGCAAATTTCAAGGTATGTTGTAGTACTTGGCAATACTGTTTGCTTCTTTTGAGGATATGACGAAAGTCAGGCAGCGGCTGGCCACTGGCTCACATTCCCTTATATTGTTGAGAAATGTTAGGAGACTGGTCTGAAGTTTTGTGACTGTATATTATTGTAAACTAAACTTGCACCAGTTCATTACACGTATCATTCCTTAGTTCACATCTAGCTGTATAAGTGTTAACATATTTTTGGGAACTTTTGGTATTCTGTGAAGTGAAAATGTCATTCGAAAAGAAAACAAACTAATGTGTCAATAGAAATGAAACTGGATGCCTTAAAGAGACTGGACAAAGCGGAAAGTGTAAAGAAAATTCCCATGGATTTAGGTGTTGGACGGACTATTTTGACTGGGTGAAAAAGAAGAGGTCCAAAAACAAGTCTTGGTGTGTGAAAAGAGCATGTGCGGAGTTTAAAGAAAAGAAAGTATGAAAGGTCCTAAGTACGAAAAAGTCAGCAAGGTGCTTTATTTGTGGTTCACGCACCAAAGGGAACAGGGAACACCCATTTCAGGACCAATTTTACAAAAGAAACCCCTAAAATTTTATGGTGAATTTCAAGAAGGGAGAACCTGGATACTTGTACTTGCTCAGAAGATGAAAAAAACAGTATGGCATCAGGCAGTTAAATGTTTGTGGGGGAAAGCTATCTGCTAACTTGGAAAATGCTGCAATATTCGGCAAACTAGTTGAAAAGGAGAGTAAATCTGGAGATCAAATTTATAATTGTGATGAGACCGGTCTGAATTTTAGAATGTTACCTTCTAAAACGCTGGCATCAAGGGAAGAAAAATCGACATCTGGCTACAAAAGAAGCAAGGAGAAAGTCACAATTTTGGCATGCAACAATGCAACAGGCAACCATAAGCTCAAACTAGCATTTATAGGCAAATCGAAAAATTTCCAGACATTTACAAACGTAAAAAAGTACAGTAATGGGATCAAAGCCAACTATAATCTTCCTGTTTGGTACCGAAATGAGTCAAATGCATGGATCAGTGGAGCAGTATTTAATGATTGGTTTCATCAGCAGTTCATTCCATCGGTGGAAAAGTTTTTAAAATAAAAAAATCTACTAAGGAAGATGATTCTCATTTTAAACAATGCCTCATCCCATCCTAATGCAGAACATTTACAAGAGGAAGAGCCATGTTTTTTGCCTCCTAACATAACATTAGTGTGTCAGCTGATAGACCAGGGCGTTTTGGAGACATTGAAGAAAAAATAAAGACGTAAACTTCTTTCGTCTCTTATCCTAGCCATGGAGGAAGGGTGTGGTATGATTGAGAAATTGGAAAAAAAAAAAAAAAATAGATAAATTGGATGTTATTGGATTAAAAGTTGATTCTTGGAGTGTAATCAAGCAGAAAAGCCTCGTTCATTTCCGGACCATTCAGATAACAAATTTCACAAAGGCAGAGAGGAGACAGAAAATTGTGAAATAGTTGACTTACTTAAGAAAATTCCAGGCTGCGAAGAAGTAACTGATGATGATGTTGAAGATTGGATAGGACAAGATGAAAATTGTAAAATTTTAGGACATGCAGAAATAGTGCACTGATAAAAGACATTGTAGATAGAAATGAAGATGAATCAGAAAACCAAGAGATTGAAAACAACAGAAAAGCAGTCTTCAGAAAAGGCCACTGAAGACTGAAGGTCACTGAATGAATGCTCCATTATGTGGAGAAGCAAGGTGCATCTGGTATGGACATTTTGTTCCTCCATCGGCTACAGAATGAAGCTGCACAACAATGGAATGAGTGTGAGAGACAATCTACTATCATACGATATTTTTCTACTGAGAACTAATAATAATTTTTACTTCATTTTTGTGTGTAAGTTTTTTTACTCAATCATCTAATTTGTTCTTTTTATGACATGTATTGTGCTAGAACTTGACATAAAAAATCAACATTAATTTAATTGTATGCTGTACTTCTCCATGTCCAATATTGTGCTACAAATGTCTAGCATAATTTACAGTTAAATATTAAGGATTCTGAAAAACCCACCCCTTATTCCGTAAAACTTGACTTTTCGGAAACTCGACAATCTCTCAGTCCAGATTATGTTGAATTTGTGCAACTCTACTGTATATATATATATATATATATATAACATCTAAAGTTAAATTGGAATCAAAGCAATGCAATTTCTCAACAGTATTAATAATTGCATATTTAGATACAGTGTTAAACCTCTTATCCATTATTGCAATTAATAATATTGTTGAGGAATTGCCTTGCTTTGATTCCAGTTTAATTTTAACTTTAGATGCTTGAAGTTTAATTTACTTCAATCCTGCAACTATAGCACAGAACTGGTTAAAAAATTTTTGTTTTTAATTTTTGACCAATTACTATATTTCTTTTTGTATATATATAATGCAAGTTTCATAGCATTCTCCTTTTTATGTGTAATTTTTTTTAAGAAATGTTTTGTTTTTTATTAGTGTGTGCCTTCTAATATGTTAACTTTTTATTTTTTAGCTGATGGGAATATAATTCAAGGCAAAACAGTAATAATTACTACAGGAACATTTTTACGTGGAAAAATCAATATTGGATTGGAATCTCGCCCAGCTGGTCGCATTGGGGATGAACCAGCAATTGGATTGGCAGTAACTCTTGAAAATTTGGGTTTCAAGCTTGGAAGGTTAAAAACTGGTGTGTAATTATGCAATAAAAATGTGACACATGTTTGTAATTTTAAAGCAGATAAAAAACATTCTGCATGCTGTTTAATTAAATTGATGTCAGTCCTCGGCTTATGACGACACTTTTAGGTCACCCAAAGCTGAGATTCTGTAATTTAAGTTTACCAATAGCATATACATGCACATGCATGCAGCATGACTATTAAACATCACTGCACTTTTAAAATATGCTGTCTGAATTTCATCAAGGTTATTTATTTTTAATTATTTGCTTGTCATGTGTAAAAGAATAGTCTAGAAAGGTAAAAAAATCTGCAAAATGCCTTGATGTAGGTTGTATGATTTTTGAAAAAATATGTCCAATAATAATTTGCCATGGTACTGCTGTTCCAATACAACAGACAATTAAAAATTGTGGCAATATTTCTTTCAGATTGTAGTGTCAGTTCAACATTCTGCTCTAAAGTGGTTTACATAGGCCCACTATGGGATAAGTACTAGTAAGTTGTAATGGGAAGCATAGTGCAAGAAGTCGTGGACAGGTGTACAGAATGGTCATTAAAAATTTCCCTGATATATGAACCTCCTATTGGCCTATCCTCTCAACCAATCAATATGAAATGGTGTATGGTCTTGGTGTAAATTGCTCTGTGTGCAACTATTCTACTTCGACCTCTTCAATTCTGCTACTTAAATACTAATTCCAAACTCATTGAGATTTTGCATATACCTCATTTAAAATTTGTGTTCTGGCAGCAAACTGAAATCAGAAGGGAAAAGAAAGTTTCTTAAAATAAAAATAAGTGATTAGTATAAAATAAGGTCTTTATAACACTTCCGAAGAACAGAGGTCATAAACTTGAGTACTGTGGTTTTCAATACATCCATACTGCGGGCAGCATTTCTTGTAGTATGCAGTGGACTTGCTGTAATCACATTACGCACTTCCATGACAACTTCAACAGGAACGCCTAGTTCCTTCAAATTTTTTTACGAAACCATGTACAGTTTTTACGGAACAAGGGCCTCTTCTTAACTTATGATTTTGCTGATGATCTTGCACTGCTTTGACAGAATTTTCCTTGTTCAGATAAAACAGCTTTATCAATTCACTTCGTTGTTTTCCTATAAGTATCATCTTGTTAGCTTGTTCCGACACCTGATGGAAGGAACAATCTTCTCACCCTGCTTAGTGTTCTGTGATTGGTGCTTCTATTGTCAGTCAGTATGAATTATGTAAAGTGTGTCAATGCACCTCCTCTCTGTCTTGTCATTCAATGTTCTTTGTTGTTCTTTGAAAATGTTTTATGATGGCAGTTTTTTGTCATATGTATATTGTTTCAGTGCCATTTGTTGTTGTTTTCATTTCGCTGATCTGTTTGGACAGGGAAAAAAGCAGGTGCTGCCATTTGAAAATTTCATGTAAGTTTGCTTTTACAAATGTTAAATTAAGCCTGTTGGCAATGTGCATGAAATAAAATTTGAGCAAGTTAAAGTATTTTTAATTGTAATAATTTCTCTGCATTCATGTTTATTATGTTATGCATTCTGTTATTTCCAAACATTAACGTTTTCATTCAGACCTATTATTCAAAAATCTGTCCCCCCCCCCTCTCTAAAAATTATAATTTACTTTTACCAATATTTCTTGAAAGACCTTTCAATATTTTTCACTTTTTGCCATATTAGACATAAATATTCCATGTTTGCTATTTTTTATTTCTCTTCCAGTATATGTGATTTTTAATCATATTTTTTTAATTTATTTTTATTTTTTATTCTTATTTATTTATTTATTTTAAGATGTATAAAAAGCTGTAATATAATATAGTACAAAGTCCGAGATCCAGATGTCCAATATCTGGAATGATCTGAAATCCGGACCTTAAAGCCACCAACTTTTTTTTAATTCTTTTTGTATGCTTTTAGGCATGCACATATGATCCCCTCCCTATGCATAATACAACATGTAGAGAGTCCGATTTTTAATTTCACTTCGGCCATATCCGAAAACCTTAATTTCACTAAATAAATACCTCGTTATTGAAGAAGCAATCATTTAAGCATAAGTTTGTGAGATCAGTAATTTGGCTCCGTAGATGCGTATCTGCACAGCATACATCTCAAACCAAAATATTCTACATAGATACATCTCTGATTTTACACCTAATATTTTATATCCCTGATGCCAAACTGGTAAATCATTATAGATTATATTTTGCTTTCATCACCACGTACTTAACAACACATGACAACTTGAGTAATGAGTTATGTAACGATGCCTAAAATATATATATATGTTTTTTTATGTTAGTAATTGAATAATGAATAATATGGTAACCTTTTATGTTGATATTACGCTTGGCGATGATGTTCATTCTCTCATGTGCTAAGAAATGTTGAAGAGGAAAACTTTAACAAAACTTTCTTTCCATATACTAAAAATAAATTTTGTTAATGATACTCATAGGCCAAAACTTAAATTTAGTGCTACTTGAATTAAGAGTAACCGATTTGTTACTCACATAAACCCAGAACCAGCACCACAGTTCGTATAGCCATATGGGGAGGCAGAATTTAGGGAGGTGCTTGGTAGCAGAATTTAAGACTCACAGAGCAGACAGCGGTAAGGTATCTAGCGCTGGCCCTCAATAAAGCTTAAGTTTATATGGGAATTTATTTATTCAGGATCAGATAATCATGTGCAAGAAATAGGCATAAATATAATAAATAACTTAACTAATACAATTCAGGCTTAATTGTCTCAGTGCACGATAGAAACAAGATAAAATTTAGTAAAACAATTTGTCTTTAGTTGCCAATTTCATGATACACAGCCAAATATGTATATTGAACGACAGTAAAATTTTATGATGATAGCCAAGAATTTTAAAGGTTTTTGGATATGGCAAACCAAAGGTGAGATTCTAGTTAACGGATTCTGTAAAGAAAGTGTGGAAAACTGGTAGATATAAAAGAAGTTTCTCATTGTGATGACAATGCTCCTCATTCATCAATCAATTAATAGAGGACGAAATCTGTAGTATGGTTCTAGATCCAGGAAATACTGCTACCAATAGTGAAGAAAGTGACAGAGAGGTTACTGACTGAATGCGAAAAAGTAACTGGAAAAGAAATTTATGTCTGTCTACAGAATTAATGAGAAAGTATTAACACAAAAAACGAAGGTATTTAAACAAATTACATTGGAAGAAATGTTTAATAAAGTAGACAAATAAATATTAAGCTTTTTATTGACAATTTTGATAGCATTGACATCATAAATGCTTCATTATTTCATGTTTTTAATTTTATAATTTCTACATGCCATCTTACTAGATTTAAACTGATGATCCAATATCCGGAAAAATCCCAAACCCGGAATCGCGGAAGTCCCGAGGAGTTCGGATCTCGGACTTTGTACTGTGTTAGATACGACAGTAAATGTATACCATTTTGTCTATTCATCAACTTATTATTATCAACATGTCTGAGAGAATCTTCGATCAGCTTTGGATATAGTTTAATGAATTTTGAATCCGGCTCTTCAAATGGGGAAATATACTCACGTTCAAACAATTCTTGCCTTTTCATATCTTTTTGATCATCACTTGACACTTTTGGCAATATCTGTTTCTTCACAAGTTGGAATCTCATCATTTTTATCTTTTCCTTTACATTTCTTATCTAAAATAAAATCTCTTAAAATTTTCTTATTCTCATCCAGGTTTGGATCATTCCTAAACTTCTTCAAAAAGGACATTTCTTTCTTAACATCTTTTGGTACTTTTTTTTTCTTGACCTTTCAAACATTTTAAATAATCAACCTCTGCATCTTCTGTTAAACTTGCTATAAAGGAATCATTTACAACCTTATTAATTTCACTTCTAGATTTCAATTCAAAGGGATCTGTTATGCCAGTGGCTTCTAATTCCCAAAGGTTTCTGATATCTTCATTGTGAATTAAGAGGAAGGTAACAACAGGAGCAATAGAATTTTTCCCTCCAATTGTTGGCGATTTACCCATCAAAACCAACCCGAGCAGTGTTTCCATGGCCAAAATGCCTGTATTTAATTTCTGTATTTTTTCTGTGTAAATATTTCCTGCAAAGTCTGAGCCTATCAAAAGATCAATCTGTGGGTTGACACAATCAACATTTGTGATATAAATTCCCTTTCCAGCTAATTCCGATATCCAAGATCCTTTCTGTAAACCAGGTATAGATCCACAAATTATAGGCTGATCTAAGACAGGAATCTTGCAGCTATAACCAGCATGCAGATTTGCAATAGTTATTTTATCATTTATGATTCTTGTCAGATGTCCTTCCTCCAAACACAACGTGTTTTAATTTTTTATGAGCTTCTGATCATATTCCTAAGGATTCTACTGTTGATTTTAAAACATAAGAATATTCAGATCCAGTATCAATCAATGCTCGAAGATGAAGTTTCTTTCCTTCGTGTTGAATGGCAACCACTAAAGTTCGAAGCAAAATTCTTCCTGAAGTGCCTGTTGAAGAAAGAGTGTTAATTTCACAATTTTCTTGATTGCACTCGACAGGAACTTTTGATTTTGGCTTAAATTCTGAACAACAAACAATGCAATGCTTCTTACCACAAAACATGCATAGAACTTTACTTTTACAATTTTTTAGCTCGATGGTTTGTTTTCAAACACATAAAGCAACATTTTTTCTCTTTCATAATTTTCAATTTTTCATCATTAATTAAATTTTAGGTTGATCTTTACATTATGGTAACTTGGCGATTTTTTGGTGAAAATTTGCCGACCAACTCTCCTACAGCAACCCTCCATTTTTTTTTCCCCGCCGCCATTTTGTCTTCACGAAGTAAAGACATGTTTCTTTTCTTTTTATCTCCTGAACACTTCTTCCAACAATCTACTAGCCGAATTACACTTATGCTAGAAATTTTATCAAACACAACTGCTTAATCATGATAAATATTCACTGCAAAATTATGAAAAACTGCACAATACCATTCTCCTTACACATTTTTTAAAATAACACATACACATAAACCATGTACACGCCGAATTATTTTTACTTAAAAAAACATCCCAGAATTGCACAAAAATGGCATTGCGCACACTCTTCACTATATCCATGTACACTGCTTTTTTCTCATAAATTACAAAAATTTCGCGAAAATACATGACAATTTTCTCAATCTTTAAAACCCGGTAAAAAAGAAATATATGAAATTACCTGATCGCGAAAAAGTATTTACCCTTTACAAATATGAACATTTCCACATATAAAATAAATAAAATATCCAAAAACTTTTACCTCTAAATCATCTATTACATTATACACGTCACCAATGAATTCATACCGCAAGCATTACAAATTAGTATCAAATATTTAAATTATTTCCATGCACGTTTATTTCAACTTAAACGTATACCAAATTCCTACAAGCATAAAATTCACAAAATAACTATCATTTCATTAAAATATCACTAAACCACGTACACGTCGACTTATTTTTACTTAAAAAAACATCCCAGAATTGCACAAAAATGGCATTGCGCACACTCTTCACTATATCCATGTACACTGCTTTTTTCTCATAAATTAGAAAAATTTCACGAAAATACATGACAATTTTCTCAATCTTTAAACCCGGTAAAAAAAGAACATATATGAAATTACCTGATCGCGAAAAAGTATTTACCCTTTACAATATCAACATTTCCACATATAAAATAAATAGAATATCCAAAAACTTTTACCTCTAAATCATCTATTACATTATACGCGTCACCAACGAATTCATACCTCAAGCATTACAAATACTTAATATCAAATATTTAAATCATTTTCCATGCACGTTTATTTCAACTTAAACGTATACCAAATTCCTACAAACATAAAATTACAAAATAAATAACTATCATTTCATTGAAATATAATTAAATTCAAAAAACACTACTTAAAATAAATGAGCACATACATTAAATTAATAAAAATTACCTTACAATCCTAATTACTTTAAACTAAATCATTGCTAATAACAATTTTCCCAATAATACCAAATTCCTTTCCACCTTACATTTACAACAATGCATAAAAATAATATCCTCAAATAATTAAAAATACTAACTTACCTAATCTTCTTCAGAATCTTGATTACATGGCAGATACACTTTTCTTACTTCTGTTTCAGAATCTTTAAAATCATACTTATCTTTCAAAGCAAGATACCAGGTAAAATAAATAACATAATAAAACATCTTTATTTCTCTCTCGCACAACCTTAAAAAACATTTATTACTATCCTTTTCAATACCACTAAATACCCATTTCGAATTCACTTTAGTTACGGCCATAGGATCCAAAAATTCACAAACACTATTTCACACAACACAGAATAAAGCCAAATACAAAATTGCCAGATTTTTCCCTGATTAAAGAACAGTAATTCGACCATTAATATCACATAACATATCCCATGATCTCTCATTTCCCTCACACAAAATAATGCGTAATCAGAACTGAATACTACTCACATTCTTACAAAGTCTAACTAACCTAATCTTCTTCCGAATCTTCCTTACATGGTGGATGATACACTTTTATTATGGATTCAATAAAATTACAGAACGATTTTTTTCCGAATTGATAAAAAAATAATTCTCTTTAATCACATCTACAATTCACTTTAGACAGCGCCATACAATCCCAAAATTATTCAACCCTACTTCACACAACACACAATGAAGCTTAATACAAAATAATATACATCCACAGAACTTGTCCAAATTCCCCCCTTTTCCGATTAAAGAACCGTAATTCGTCCATTAATATCACATGACATATCCCATGATCTCTCATTTCCCCCACACAAAATAATGCGTAATCGGAACTGAGTACTGCTCACATTATTACCAAAGTCCCAGGTAGTAACCTTTATCGTCTCCAAAATGTCGCCAAACTACCAGTTACCATATTGTAAAGATCAACCAAATTTTATGCTTTGTAGCAATCTTTGCTTTGATGAGATTTTTCACAGAAAATACAATTTACAACATTATTGTTATTTATTTCTTCTGCTCCCGAAAACAAATTGCTTGCAGTAGCTATAGTAATATTTTCACTATCCTTATGAACTTTTCTATAGGGATCACTTTGCTTCATACCTGACTTTGCTAGATTTATTCTTTCTTCCCCTTCAACCTCAGCCTTTAGAAAATTTAAAAGTTGGCTCAGTCTTGCACTACAGTCAAAAGTCTTTAATCCCGACTCGTCGGGACTTCGGCAATTCCGGATTATCAATTTTTCCAGATTATAGATCATCAGTTTAAATCTGGTAAGATGGCATGCAGAAATTATAAAATTAAAAATATGAAACCGTAATTTATGAAATAATGAACAATTATGATCTAAAGGGTATCAAAATTTACAAAAAAAAAAGCTTAATATTTATTTGTTTACTTTATTAAACATTTCCTTCAATGTAAGTTGTTTAAGTTGCTTCGTTTTATGTGATACTACTTTCTCTTTAATTCTATAATCAGACATAATTTCTTGTTCAGTTACAAAGTTCCGCTGTTCAAGTCCTATAATTGCTGTGTCGAGAATACCGACTAATTTGTCAATCAAAATTTTTTTGTTGTCAATAACCTCTGTGTCACTTTCTTCGCTATCAGAAGTGAATTATAATGACGAGGAATTTGATTTAAATCATATCAAAGACGGAGTACATCGAGATGAAATACTACATTTAGTAAGGAATTAGAAGCCAAATAAAATAAAGACATCTGCCCTGAAGATAAGGATAGTGCTGACAGATCAACATACAATTCATTGCGTGCCGCAACGCTTCCGCCCCCCCTCGCAGAGCAGCGTGAAATTGATAAACAGATTTCGGAATGGTTAGAGAAACAAAGGATATGCCTTTATCCATTTTTTGCAGCAATTCCACTTTTTGTTTGATGGTCATCGAAACATACTTTCGCTTTGTATTTGACATAATCGAAAGTTCAAGCTTACTTTTATAAAATTGCTTTAACAGTCTGCAAAAAATAATAAGCCGTATCCAATTCGAAGATTAAGGAACAACGCAATCTGCAACATAAACTGAAATAGATAATTAGATAATTTTAGCTGAGCTTCTACCGTTCGTCATACATTAAATGCGCATGTGTAAACGTATTATGCGCATGCGTGAACGCATTATGCGTTGACGCATGCACAGAAAGTTTGTTGCTTTGAGGTCTGGATTATAGATAATTTCTGATTACGGGTGTCTGAATTAACGGCTTTTGACTGTATATAATTTCTCTTCATTTACTGAGTTTCTCAACATGTCTTCTGGAATACACGACACGAATACAGGGGGAAGAGCATTGCAGAATATTTGTCTGATGTCATCCCAATGGATTCTAAAGCTCTGAGGTGGGATTCAAGTTTATCATATAATTGTGTGATACTAATCCGTGATTTGGGTGCATTTTTAACAACTAAATTTAATAGTTCACGAACATAGTATTCCACTAACAATTCCTCACAGCTAAATCTTGCTTTGAGGCTTTCGATCGCTTTTGAATAATTTTCTGCCATAGGTGGATAGTTATCGATAATCTCTTTTGCTCTTGTACCTGGTGACATACATTGTATTAAATATTGTAATTTGTCTTCCAATTCCATTTCTTTATGATCGTGAATTCGTTTAAACTGACTCCAGAGCATAACCATTCTTTAACTTCACCGTTAATTTCACTAGTTCAAATTTGGAAAGTTTTATTTTTGATTTCTCATTACTTAATATATTCCTGTTTGGCTGTGATTTACTTTCTATAAAATAATTGATGCAAACTATAGCTTTATCAAATTTGACTTTATATTCTTCTACAGATTCAAATTCATCAGAATAACTTTTACCATTATCGTTTGCACTTAAGGCAAGTTCTAAAATTTCATTATCAAGAGTCATTAAACTAACACTAATGTGTTCTAAAGTAGCTAATTTAATCTTAACATCATTTATTTCTATATTTTCATCATCAAACAGAGACATTAAACTTTTATATGTCTTAGTAAACAATGTTCGTAACGGAGATTGCTTCTTAACAAGATGCTCCATTGCAAACCAAAACTAGAATTAATTATTAATTAAATAGAAAAAGAATTAATTATTTCTTAGATAAAGTACTCACCTCTTATATTTAATCATGTACTGAAGGTCACCAAATGCTAGATACGACAGTAAATGTATACCATTTTGTCCATTCATCAACTTATTTATACCTAAATAATCTCTCAAAAATTTAAACAGAACCAAACATGTTTATTCTACCAACTTAATAACATTTTACACCTGTTGCCACTCAAAGAAAAACTAAAAGGAAATTAATATTACACTGGTTGAATGTATATGAACTATGCTATACTTAATAACTGTATTGCAAAGCCTTTTTAAATGTAAATGAAGATGCAATAATAATCATGCATAAAATTTTACAAATATTACTTTTTTCCTGTATTATGTATTTTTTTAAATCTTATCAAAATTGTTCCTCCTTTTTTTTTTTTTTTTAGGAACACCACCTAGAATAGAAGCATGTTCGGTTGAATTATCTGAAGTAGAGACTTCTTATCCTGATAACCCACCTGTGCCATTTTCTTTCATAAATGATAAAGTCTGGATAAATGTACTACCTAATTTTTTAATTATTTTATTATTTTGTTCTAGGATATACTTTTTGAAAATAATTAATATAGTTTTCAATATTCTCTTCAAATTCAGCATGCAGCTAAAATGATTTGACATAAAAGAGCCCATTAGAAATTTCCAGTTTATGGCAGTATCGTAACTCATTTTATGGAACTAATTTATATTATAAAACTTTTTTATAGCCTCAAAATTTCACAACAAATTAATAAAAGTAGAGAGCAAAATGATTCCTCTTACCTTGTATCCAGTGCGGCATCAAGGGAGATGATAGCTAATTAACTTGTAATCCAAAAAAGGTTGTAGACGTAAATTGTAAGATCACAAACACATTTTATTAACACATGAAAATAGATTAAGATTCATTAGTATTCAAATATATATTGAAAAAAAGGAGTTATATTATAGAGAGTGTCATATCACTGTCCTTTCCTGAAGGAGTAAGAAAAGTAAGTGTAAAGAATAGGCGAGTGATACAATTAACTCCTTTGTAGGGTTTCCAGTTCATAATGTTTATCGCGCTATTGGCGACAGTCCATCACTATATGTATACCGACAATTTACTGTTATGTTTCCCCCCCCCCAGTTTATGCATAACTGCATAACTTAGAGATTGGTTCTGAGACATTCTATGTAGATTTTTACTGTTATTAAAGATACTTTCTTCCTTAAGTGTCTGAATATCTAATAGTAAATGCATAAATATCTGTCAATTGTTTTGATACAAAAAGTGCAAGTGTGTAATCTATAGCTAATTTATATAATAAAATTATCCAGGGAAATTTATAACTTATTCAAAAGTATTTGAATTATAAAGGTATTGCTTTTCTTTTAAACCAAAAATTTTCTTTTTTCTTTTTTTTTTTTTTTTTTTTTTTAAAGTCTGAAGACCAAGTTCCTACATATCTTACTTATACTACACCAGATGTAGACAAATTAATTTTAGAAAATCAGCATTTAAATTTACACGTCAAAGAAGAAACTCAAGGACCAAGGTAAGTTTTATAATTTTCCATTTTAAATTTGGAAGTGGTTCAATATTTATTTATAATTCAATATAATTTGCTTTAAAATTCAGTTTTAAAATTAAAATTGTTATTTGTTAAATATTCTACTTAGAGCTGCTGAGCGGAAGTTTTTTCTTGACTTATAATAATGTTACTAATTAATTTTTCGTTGAGTTTTTAGCTAATTCTAACAGCATTTTAAAATTGCAGACTTGTATTTTCCCCTTGTTGCAGTTCTATGTAAATCTTTGTGCTTTTTTGTTTATATTCTGTTGTATATTGGATTTATTTAAATTGTTTTGTATGTTCTTTTAAATCTGAGGTGACTTAACTGCATATTTATATCTTTAATTGGCTTCTTATTTTGTAGTGTGTGTAATTCTGCATAAATATTCATTAGAATTGTTTAAATAGGTTGAAAAAAATAGCTGCATTGGCTGTTGAAATCTCTCAGGTCCTGGTAACAAAATATGTCCCCAAATTAATGACATTTGGCTATTTCTCACCTACTTACCAATATTTTAGCAGTTACCAAATATATTATAACAATACCTTTTTCAAAATATTTTGTTAAATTCTTCTTCTCACATTTGGATGAAAGTATAAATACTGCATTAGAAAAACCTCTAGTCTGTAAATTGGTATATCCTATTTGAAGTTTATATTATATAAGTACTGAGGGATTTTAAGGATTGCTTTATGAACAGTTTTGTAATTCTGTGGTGTGTTTTCAACTGTAGCTGTAGATTTTTAACACAGTGGTCTCACATTTTTAGAATATTGAATTTGTGATACAGTACAAAGTCCGTAATTTGGATGTCCATTATCCGAAATGATCTATAATCCAGACCTCAAAGCCACAAACGCATGTGCGTAATGCATTTACACATGCGCGTTTGATGCACACGTCCGCTACGCATGCGTGTAAAGCCAGTAAAGCGTTTACACATGCACGCTTCTTACAATGAAGAAAGTGGCAGAGAAGTTATTGGAAACGAAAGAATTTTGATTTACAAGTTAGTCGGTATTCTCAACACAGCAATTACAGGACTTGAACAGTGGAACTTTGTAACTGAACAAGAAATTATGTCTGTTTATAGAATTAAAGAGAAAGTATTAGCACAAAAAACGAAGCATCTTAAACAACTTACATTGAAAGAAATGTTTAATAAAGTAAACAAAAAAAGTATTAGGCTTCTTTTTTTTTTTTTTTTTTTTTTTTTTTTGTAAATTTTTGATGCCCTTTAGATCATAATTGCTCTTTATTTCATAAATTATGGTTTCATATTTTTAATTGTATAATTTCTGCATGCCATCTTACCAGATTTAAATTGATGATCTATAATCTGGTAAAACTCCTAATCCGGAATCGCCAAAGTCCGGACGAGTCCGGATTACAGACTTTGTACTGTATTAGTTCCTATGTTAAGGAAAATTACAACATATCTTTCTTCTCCTTGATTTATTTTTAACTTATCTTCTTCATTTTTAAAAATTGATATCAGTTAGGCCTTCAGTAAAAAATTGAAATTTTTTCATTATCTGTCCTGTTTATTCAGCCCCTCAGGGGCTCACTTTTATGACTATGGGTGTGCAATTCCGAGGTACCCTAGCCATTCAACGGATCATGATCCTGGAGCCCTAGTGATCTTTCCTCCTTTCTTTTTTATCTCTCCTTATCTGTATTTTTATCTCTCCTTATCTTATATTCATTTCTTCTGCCTTTGTGGTTTTCCTTTTTGGATGTTGGGGCTCAATGAGAGGCTATGACATCCTTTTGTTTCTAGTTTCTCAAGGAGAGAAAAACCACCTATGTGTTTGCCATGCAGTGTTACCCTTAAGGCTGGAAAGGAGGGTCCTGGTAGTTGAGGGGTGAAGTACAGTCCCCAACACGCTGCTGGTGACCTCTGCTTCAGATTGAAATGGGAGGAACTTAGCTGTCTCCACTAGTGTCAATCGGCTGGTCCCTTATCCTTCGGATCAGTGGCTTGGTAATAAGCTTTCGGGAAAGCTGATTGTGGGACTTCAGATTGCGTATAGACCGGTTTAACCCTGGCGCAGGATTCTGTGTCTCTTTGTTGGACTACATGGTGGGTTGGGCTGCTGGGTCCAAACTTTTGATTTCTTTCATTATGGCTTCCAATAATCCAACAAATGACCAAAATGAAAACATTTCTAGTTCAAAGAAAGTTAAAACAAGTGTAAATGCTGATGAGAATAAAATTCTACTCCATTTTTTCATAATAATCCATGATAAAATCATCTGGAAATCTTCTGAAATTTTTAATGCACAAATATATACAATCCAGTATTGGTGAATCAAGGAAAATCAAAAGGCTACAGTCTGGAGATATTCTAATTGAAACTGCTTCTTGAGCATAGTCCACTACCCTTCAGGGGTAAATAAACTTGGTTGATATGAGTGTTTCAGAGCATAAGGCACTGAATTATAGTCGTGGCATAATCTCCAAGATTGACCTTCTTTTCATATCAGAAGAGGAAAGGATCTCTGAGCTGTTGGACCAGAGTGTCTGTACTGCTAGGTGGACCAAGATGCGTAAAGATGGTCTGATGATAAACACAAAGCACATAATCCTGACATTCTATTCACCTGATCTGCCTAAAAGTATTAATGATGGGTACATGCACTGCCCTGTAAGACCTTACATACCAAACCCTTTGTGATGTTCCTAGTGCCAGCCATTCCAATATGTCCTGTCGTGGCAAATTAGCATGCGCTGAATGCTCTGTATAAGGCCACGACAGTGATAACTTCAGTGCTGTGCCATTATGTACAAACTGCAAAGGTGTGCACATAGCTTACTCTAAACTATGTCCAAAGTGGAAATTGGAGGAAAAAGTGCAGACGATTAAAATAATGAAGAACATGTCATATGCAGAAGCACAAAAATTGGTATCAGATACGCAGCCATGGAAAAATATATCTAATGCTAATGTATTAAAATCTGTGAAATCAGTAGTCATGCAAGGGTCTTGATAGGGCAGACTAGGAGCTTTTCTCATCTCTTGCAGAGATCACATGACATATGGTAAAAGGTATGCTTGTCGATGATGCAGTGAAAGCCATTACTGATATTATTGAAGCAGCTTCTGTATCTCTTACGTCTACAAAGATACCAAAATTTTCAAAACCATGGTGGAATACTAACTGTCAAGATATTCTCAGGTAACAGAGAAAAGCTTGGAGAGCCTTCTGTTAGTACCCCACTTTATCAAATCTTATAGACTTCAAACAAGCAAAAGTAAATACCAGAAAAGTAAGATATCAGAGCCAGAAGGATAAGCATGTGGGCTATGTAAAGACTAATCACTTTCCTTTCTGGAAAAAGATGGATATGTGATTAGTAGCATAGAAGAAATTGCAAATGCAATTCAAGAGACTTTTGATTACACTTCCAGCAGCAATTATCCACCAACTTTTCTTTCCGTTAAATCTCCCTCTGAGAGATATAGCTTTCAATCCCATAACTTTCAATTCTTCCAGTTCTGAACTTTATAATAGTGCATGAGCTAAAGACATGTGCATGAGCTAAAGACAGCTTTGCTACAGATGCACAGATCTAGTCTGGGTCTAGATGGCCTGGCATATGAAATGCTGAAGCATCTTTCCTTTAAATCATTGACTGCCCTCCTCTCTCTTTATAGTAGAGTCAAGAAGCATACTTTCCCCAATGTATGGGAAAAAAAGCCGTTATCATTCCAATAGCTAAGGCAGGGAAAGACCCAAAGAATCTCTCCAATTATAGGCCTTTTGCTCTGACAAGTTGTGTTTGCAAAATCTCTGAAAAAATGGTAAACCGCCGCCTAGTCTATATCTTGGAAAAAAGCAACATGATCTCGTGTTACCAGCGTGGTTTCCAAAAAGGATGATAACATGATCCTTTTGGAAATATCTGTTCATAAAGCCTCTGCTGAAAAAAAACTGTCTTTTTTGACAATGAAAAGGCTTACGATAAAGCGTAGAGATACGGTATTTTACAGGATCTTCATGCTAGGGGCTTGCACAGCAACCACCCAATTTCCATTTAAAACTTTTTGAAGGCAAGAACTTTTAAGTTAGAATTGGCTCTGTTTTTTCTGATGACTTTCAGCTAGAAGAAGGTGTGCCTCAAGTGTGCATTTTATGTGTTACTTTATAAATAAACTCTCTTTATAAGGCACTTTCTTCTACCATTTCAGGATCATTGTTTTAAACATGTTGATGACCTACAGATGAGCTGTCAAGGGACAGATATGAGATTTGTTGAGAGGCAATCACAGATCGCTCTTAATAGGATCAAGGCATGGTTAAAGAAAAATGGATTTGTGTGTTTTCAAAACAGAAGACAGTTTGCATACACTTTTCCAAAAAGCGAATAATCCATCCTTAGCCTGAGCTTTACCTTGGAGATTTATTGATTCCAGTTGTTTCTGAAGGGAAATTCTTAGGAGTTATGCTCAACTGGAAGCTTACTTTCCTTCCACATGTCGTGTACCTGAGGAACAAGTGTTTCAGAATGCTTAATCTTCTGAAAGTTCTGGCGAACACCTCTTTGGGTGCAGAATGTGGGAATCTTTATCTGATTCATCATCAAGCTCTGTGGATTTGTATTGGAGCCTTTAGAACATCTCCGGCACAAAGTCTATATATTTGTTTAGAATCATCTCTTCAGTTAAGATGTGAGCAATTATCTCTCCATCACTATTTTCACATAATGTCACAACCTAACCATCCTTGTTCCTACACTTTTGATGACTGTTATAGTCTCTTATTTTTCAGCACGGCCTCTCTGTATCACTCTGTTCTCCATGAGAGCTCAGCATTTGATTGAAAAATATTCAGTGTCTGATGTGAATGCCGATGCAGTAAGGCATCATCAGATCCTACCATGGGATAATCCAGAAATTCGGTGCCTAAATGTCTTCAACCATCTTCATAAAAGATGCTCAAACGAATTAGTATACAAACAGCTTTTTTATGAGCATAA